CAAGCCCGCGAAGCACGCCTCCAGGAGGGTGTCCTCGGCGACGGCCACGTCGCACCCGAGGTCGGGGTCAAAGACCGTGTCCACCCCCAGCGCCCCCGCGGTGTCCTGGAGCCCCAGGCCGAAGTAGTGCGAGACCGTGGGCACCAGGAGCTGGTAGAAGCCGCCCTGGAGGTCGATGGAGCCTCCCCACAGCTCCTTGGAGCGGCACGCGCCCCGAGCTGTGGCTGGCCGAGCCGCGCCGTCAGCTCCGGCGGCGTCCAGGGCAGCGGCGGCCGCGTAGCCTGGGTCGTGGATGAGCGACCCCACGGCCCCAGTGGTGGCCAGCTTGGTGCAGGGCGCCCGGCGGTGGACAGCGTTCGCCGGCCTCGCGCCGAGGACGAGGCGGAGCTGCCCAAACTTCTTCTTGACGAAGAACATCCCGCAGCGGGCGGCGACCCTCGTTCGGTAGCAGATGAGGCCGCAGTCGGCGAGCTTCTGCAAGAAGTCACGGAGGAGGCGGGGGTTCGAAGCCAGGCGCCTATGCCAATGCGGACGAACAGGCTCGACCCCCTCCAGCTGGTCCTCCCCCGGGGCGATGAGCGACGGGTCGGCGAGGTAGCGGGCCGCGTCGGCGCCCACCAGCAGCCGGGCGTCCTTCGGGCGCAGCCGCTTGGAGGTGACGGAGACGCGGTCGTGGTCGCACGGCGCCACGGCCAGGGGCACGTCCGTGTCGTAGAGGCCCTTTGCCTCGAGGAGCTCCGGCAGGGCGCCGGAGGGGAAGAGGTCGAACTCAAGTGGCCTCGGGCCCGCAGCCAAGGCCACGTCCGCGAGGCGCCTCCACGTCGCGAGCTGGGCGCCAGACAGCTCCCGCCCGTGGGGAAGGCGGCTGGGCCACGCCGGCTCGGGCAGCCCTCGGGCGCGCGCGGCGGCCAGAGCGTTAAGAGCGGCGGCGGCATCAAGCTGCAACGCGCCCACTGCGCCGGCCTCCACGAGCTCCCGTCCCGACGCTGAGCCGGGCAAAGAAAAGAATGACTTGGGCCGCGGGAGCGGGAACAGACCACACTGCCAGCGGGAAGCACCACGGCGATCCATCCGAGCAGCGGCAGCACCACTGCGAGGCAGAAGGCCAGGTGCGAGGGGGAGAGCCTCGTTGGCCCCACTCGTTGTCCTTGCCGCCCTTCTTGCGGCCACTTTCCTCGGCGTAGAGGCGCTGCTGCTTCAGCGTGAAGGCCTACGTCTTCTGCTCGTCGGCGATGAAGCGGGCGAAATCCCCGACCGCCAGGGTAGCGCCGCCGTCGAGGCGGCTGTGGATCATCATCTCGAGGCCCCGGAAGTCGGGGTTCTTGGGCGACTTCTTGACCGCACGCTCGATGTAGAGCACGCGCCGAGCCAGCATCTCCATCGCAGCACTCTGGAAGATCTCGAGCTGGTCGAAGCACAGCGCGTGGTGCAGCACGGACACGAGGCTCTGGTGATGCTTGGCCACGCCCGCCTCGGCGCTGACTCCAGACGACCAGGCCCACGCAGAGCGGTAGCTCTCCAAGGACTCTCCTGAAGCGCGGATCCCGCGTAGCAGCTCGAGCGACGCAGAGGGTCCGCGGAAGGGCCAGTCCTTGGCCTCGGCCGTCGTCATCCCGTCGCGGCCCGTCTTCACGGCCAGCTCCGAGAGGGTCGCCAGGCCCTCCTTGAAGTCGAGGTAGCGGGCCTCCTGCGCATCGCGGCTGATGGCGAGCACACGAGGGTCGCGGCCGGCACCCGTCTGCTTCTCCTCCCTCCAGGCCGCCAGGTCGCCGGGCAGCAGCCTCTCGACTGCCACCCACCTCTGGTCGTCCATCCTGGCGAGCCCGGCATGCCCCCGCGACACGAAGCGCGCGGGGTTGGAGGTGACGGCGACCTCGACGGTGGTGCCGAAGTCTTCGTCGGCGGGGTCGGCAACGTACCAGACGGCCGCCGAGGCCGCAGCAGCAGGCGCAGCTCCACCCAGGATGCTTGCCAGGGCGTGGGCCTGTTGCATCAGGCTCGCCAGCTCGTCCTCCCCCAGCGGATCGAACCCGTAGAAGTTCCCGCGCAGGCGAGGCGGGATCGGGCACCCACGAACCAGCGGCACGATGCGCGACGCCGAGAGGTTCCGCACCTGGACGTCGTGGGTCGGAGTAGCATACACCCACCTGCCATCGTCCCCGATCTTCACCAGGAGGATGCGGTGGTGCCACCTGAAGTTCGGGTCGTCGTCGAAGGCCTCGGCGATCTGCTGCTGCTCGATGTCGAGGGCCTGCGGGACGGCAGCCATCAGCGGCGACGCCGCGGCACCCAGACGTCAGGCTCGTCGAGAGCAGCCACACCAGGACCCCCAGCGTCGCGGTCGCCAAGCGCCAGCGGCGACGGCCCCGCGCGGCCCGTGGCCAGGGCGGAAGGCGGGGCGGGGCCCCCGAAAGAGGCCCCCGCCGTCGCCGTGCCAACCCAGCGGCCGTGGCACCACAGGCGGCAGGCCGCCGCGAGACCCAGGGCGAGGGTCGCAGCAGCCAGAGCGGCGGCCCACAGGGCCGAAGTCGCCCAGCCGGGGGTGCAGGCGGGGCAGGCGGCCGCCGCCGGGCAGGCGGCCAGCGAGGGGCAGACCGCCTCGGGGCAGACCGCCGCCGGGCAGACGCACGCCGGGCAAGGCGCCGCCGGCGGGCACGACAGCTTGGGGCAGAAGGGCGCGGGCAGTCGAGGACGTGCCCGCAGGAGCCCTGCCCCGCCGCCTCGGGCCCGGCCCACCAGCCTCCGGTGAGGCCACCGAGGAACGCCGCGATCGCGGCGGCAGGGGCGCCGAGCGGGCCGGGCCCTCCCATCCCAAGCCAGAAAAGCTGCAGAGGACTCCGATGCGGACAGTGATAATGTGTCACACTTTCAATCATCATCATCATCATCAGCAGCAGCATCATCATCATCATCATCATCATCATCATCATCATCATCATCATCATCATCATCATCATCATCATCATCATCATCATCATCATCATCATCATCATCATCATCATCATCATCATCATCATCATCATCAACAACATCCTCATCATCATCAGCAGCATCCTCCTCTTCGTATGATTTCGCTTCTCCTTTATATCGGATGTAACCGTTATCCAGTATTCGTGCTGGCAGTAGTGTTCTTACTATTAGCAGCATTGTTACTGTTGATATTACTATGCGTAGTAATATGTTTTATTCGTCTTAATCGAAGTAGCAGTCGTATGTTCATGGTTAGTATTAGTAGCATTGGTATTCCTACGAATGTTTTTCTTAGTATCAACAGCCGTCCTCTTATTAGTCGTATCATTACTCTTACTGGTAGTATGATTGCTTGCATTAGCATGATGAATGTCAACTCTATTATTGTTTGCATTAGTCTGCTTATGATTCGTATTCGTATTCGTTTTATTATTGTTAGTCTGCTGATTATTCCTCCTCTTCCTCTTCCTCCTCCTCCTTATCCTCCTCCTCCTCCTCCACCTCCTCCCCCTCCTCATCCTCCTCCTCCGCCTCCTCCTCCTCCGCCTCCTCCTCCTCCTTTTCCTCCTCCTTGTCCTTATCCTCCTCTTCCTCCTCCACATCCTCCTCCTCGTCATCCTCCTCCTCCACGCGGTGCTTGGGGGCGCCGCTCCAGCCGTGGGCTCATTAAAGACACTAGCTGTAGCAAGAGCAAGGGGTTCGGTTTCGAGTGGCACGGTTTCCGCACACATCCCACGTTGACATCACAACCACGCATCGTTTAGTGTTGACGCTGACGTACGTCGAGTGGGTGGACAGAGTGCAAGCAAGCACGTAGTTCTTCGGCGTTGTCGAAGCACTCCTTTTTACCAATTCCCCCGTCGTCCTGGACGCGGTGCGTCCCAGGTTCAGGGGGCTAGAGACACAGGGGCTTCGAGCCCACTTGAACCCTCCTCCCTGTGGTCTGGGCGTGTTCAGGCAACGCGTCGGGCGGGAGTTCGACACTTCGTCGATGTTGTGGATTCGGGATTTTGTGCTCTGCTACAAAAATTCGTTGCATAAGTCGTGTACGCGTTACGCAAGTAGCCGCAGCCTCGGCCACATCCCAATGTCGGGAATCTACTGACCCGGGTCAACTCAAACCCGGGTCAATCGGGATTTGCAAGATCTTGCAAGATGCTGAAGAATCCTGCAAGATCCTGCGCGCAAGCCCCGGTCTATGCACCCCTGGCCCCGCAGGATCCTGCAAGATCTGGCGCTCTGACAGACCCCGACAATGTATCGGGGCAGGCGTGCTGGTCGCATCTTTCGAGGAACCCTTCGCAACGGAGCTGTAGCCCGCCCAACAGTTCGAATTCGGCCTCCGCCCCTCGGCTAAGAGAGGTGTCTTCAGCTGGCGGGGATGCTGCGGCGGGCGTAAAACTTTGAATCCAATCTCCACACTCTTTTTGGTCGTCGGGGCGAAAGCGAACCTCTTCCACTAAAAGCAGGCGGGCTACGCACAGCTCTAATTAGGGAGACAGGGCACAGGCGGGCGGGGCCTCAGGCGGCCCGAGAGGGCGGGACTCGGGGTGCCGGCGGTAAACCGAATCTCCACACTCGATCCTCAAGATCGAGGGCAGGAGAGGGAGAGCAAGAGAAGGAGCGGGGGAGGCCCGAGAGGCAGCCGGGGGCCCCCGAAACCCAGCGAGGGTACCGCTCCAAACAAGCGTGAGCTGTAGCCGAGGGCAAAGCACCATCTTCGGTTGGCCTTGCCCCGTCCCTGCCTGGGGCGCACTGGTTCGAGGTTCGCGGGATGTGCCCTCGCTGGGTGGTTCGGGAGCTGCTTCTGCACTGTGCATCAGGGCTTCGGTCTGGGCTCTGCGTGGATCTCATCACTCTCATCGCACATGTCCTTACGCCTCCTCGCAGAATCAACGCTGCACCCGCTCATGGTGGTGTGGTTTGGAAGGAGCGGGGACAGTTCACAGTGGAGGTACTCCTGTGTGTATCACATGCTCATGTTCCACAGGCTTCTCAGATTCCCCATCCACATGCGGGCCACCCGGTTCCTCTTCGCCGCGTTGCTCGGCCTCGCGCAGCGGCGCTCGCGCGAGGCCAGGGGGTATGGAGTGCGGGTGATGACCCTTCGTCTTCGGTCTTGTCCTCCAGTCCCCCGCTGCCTCCTCCCCCCCTCCTCCTTATTCCCCCCCCTCCCCCCCTCCCTCCCCTCCCTCTCCTGCACCAAAAATCCCGATATCCTGGCTGTGTTCAGTGCGAGAGGTTATGCAGCTCCCGACCCCACCTTTCGCACCTTCGCGCCGTGGATCGTCCCTGCGGGCCATGGCGCCCAGAACGAGCTCCCGCGGGCCCGGGCTCGATGGAAACAAAAACAAAAACAAACAAAAACCAAAAAAAAAACCTACGGGTGCCGTCGGGGGCGGGAGGTCCAGGCTCTCTGGCCGCAGGTTGGGGGCAGGGATGGCCGGCCGTGGCGGCGATAATCACCGTGCTGCCATCAGGAACACCAGACAAGGAGCGAAAGGGCGATTCTGGCGGGTCCCAAGAATATGCACCACCACCACCACATCCATTCCTCCTCCCTCCTCTTCCCTCCTCTCCCTCTCCTCTTTCGTGGGAGAGGTAGGTGGCGAGGGAGGTGGTGGGTAATTTCTGGCCACAGCGAGCCTCGGAGACGAACAAGTTCCAGACCTGGATATCTGAAGGGGAAGTCGGGGCCCCTCCTGAGCCCGAAGGGGCCTTCGCTTCGGCGCACTGCCTGCGCGGAATTCCGTGCAGTAGGTTCGCGCGGCGTCGGCGTACGCAAAGGTTTTTGACACCACCTCGATCGTTCAACCTTGAACAGATCGCGGCCCCGATCGTTCAGCCTTGAATTCCGTCCGCTCCAATGCCGTTACCATGTCCCTCGGTGCTTCCGCGTCGCAGAGCTCAACCTTGAACGCCTTCGCCGGCGTCGCCAGCGCGCCAACGCCGCACGAACCCACCGCATGATGCAGTGGGGCAGCAGGCGAGCTGCAGTCACGCAGCACGGGTGATGACTCGTTTTCCACCCGCCGCGCGCGACCAGTCCTGATCCTGCTACGGGTGAGCGCGGAGAGCCAGACGCTCTCCCTGGCCACCCCCCTCCCTCTCCCCTCGGCACCCTGCATCCTCACCCCTGACCTGGGCGGGCCAGTGGCAACAGCGCCGGGGAGCGCCGGGGCGCAAGCCTTGCCGGCACCCCACGCCCGGGCCGAGTGGAAAACACGCCATCCGCGGCTCTCTTCCCGAATACGGAGTCACTTTGCTTCAGTGGGCGGCAGACGAGGACAGGGGCTCGTGTAGCGGAATAGAAAACAGCATGGACATATAGTGCCATCGCTCCGCGAAGATTTCTTGGATCTGCGCCAGACGCCCCTCCCTGGCGCGCGGGCCCACCGCAGACTCAAGACATCCGCACGGAGCGCCCAAAGTTTATGTTCATGCCGTTTTTGCTCTTCAATGATGGGTGGGCTGGAGTGGAGAGGGGAGAGGAGCAAGCTAGGTGTGCTCACCCCACATCTGATTTCATACCCCTCCAGCCCCTCCCTTCCCGTGGCGCTGGGGTCGCTCCCATCCGCCGACACGGGGGTTGTCGTAGAAGGCCCTGATCCCAGTGGCCATGCTGCGATTCGCAATCAGAAAGGGGGCTTCGCACAGCGGGCAAAAACGAGGTGGCGGATAAGAAAGAGGAGGACGGCGACGAGGGAGGAGGAGAAGCAGCAGCAGGGATAGCAGCATGAACAGGAGGACCAGGGGAAGACAGAGGAGGGAAACGGGACAACAGACGAACGAGTTGGATCCAGAAATGTGGCCCGCGCTGAGGAGGAGTGCTACTCTGAACGACCGGAGCAAATCCCCGAGTGTGAAATGTGGCCAACGATGCAGCGGGAATACCATGCTTGAAGGGCCGAGAGCATTCGGATCGAAAAACCATAAACACGAACTGATGAGATCCTGTGGGCGGTGGCACCGCTGGCCATGATCAGGGGACAAAAGAAAATCCGCCGATCCGGCGTGTGAACTACAAGGAGCCTCAGCAACGGCTCTGAGCCTAAGCAAGAGCTTCAGCTCTGCTTGTGGGGGGTCGCCAGGGCGGCTCTGCCGGGGAAGGGGGGCAGGGGGGGGTCGTCCATCTGGCGTTTTTTTCATGATTTGCGCGTCCGGACCCCCCCCATCTGGCGTTTTCTTAATGATTTGCGCATCCCCAAGATGTTTCGGGGTGTCCGACGGACCCCCCTCACATCTAGCCGCTACCGCCCCCAAGACCCTCTCCTCGGAACCCTCCCCAGACCCCCCCCCTGGGACCGCTCCAGGCACCCCCCGGAGAAGGAGAATAAAGAGGACCGGAAGAATCGAGGAGGGAGGAGGCCACAAAGCCGCGAAGATCACCGAATCCGGAGCCCCCCAGATCGGCGGCACTGGCCGGAGTCCATTACGATATTACTGATACTGAGTAGGTGAGGAGGAGATTGGCTACACGCACGAGTTACCCTAGGCAGGGATGACCTCTGGTGCGCGGTTTGTCGATCGCTGCATGCGATGCGACAGTAGCGGCCTGCGTACTTGGGTTTGGTCCCCCCGCACGCCCCGAGAGCCACGGACCAAAGGTCACTCCAAAGAAGAATTAGTTTTACGTATTGCCGAAGAGAGCCTGCTTCAATGCGCCAACATCTGTGAGGGCCTCCGCAGGGGTTGATAAAGGTAACACTAAGCCTCGCCATGTCCACAGCCGCGCAAGCTCCAGCACGAGTCAGACGATGTCTCCAACATCGAAGGAGAGAGGGTGGTGCAGAAAGCAGACACGTTCCTGTCCAGGCTGAGCTGCCTCGGGAAAGAAACGGCCTTTATGTACACACCTTCCTCGGGATCGTCATCCTGGGCCTAACACGGTACGTCGAATATGATATGCAGCGAATGTGTGCTGGCTTGGAGCACGCACTTAGACTGTCTAAACGACCGCGCCCGCGAGCGTTCAGCTTCGAGATCGCCCGGATGCAAGATCTGATTTGAACATCAAGGTGCTTATGTACTTGCTACCCGAGCCAACAAGAGACCATAATAAACGGAAAAAGCGCTGCGTGGACGACCCAGGTAACTGCGCACCAGGTTAAGGTCAAGATGGAATGCTCCGCACTCGTGAACGGTCGCTCGGACGGAGCTTGCTGCCGAGCAGGAGGGAGTCAAATGAGACCACTGAAATGGATCGCAGCCACACAACACATTGCGGCTAGCTCGGCACTCTGAAGTATAGAAAGATCTTGCTTATCGCTTCCACAACGATTCGAAGCCTGGTTGGAGGCCGAAACACACATCCGCCACCGTGCCTGCACGAAATGGGCATGCTAGAATGCCAGGTGCAGCTCTGTAAGACTTGGTCCTCTACTCAGGGACCCCGACCTCTGCTCCTGGACAGGGGCATGCATACCCCCTGGTGCCAAGGCCACGATCCTTCATACAAAAACTTGGATCCGCACTGCCGAGTCCACGATCCCTCGTAGAAAATTATCCGAAACGTATCCAAAACCTTCTCCACGCGAAGCGCAAATTTGCACGAACGCTTCATGAGACAAAACACATCGCCAAAGATGCACGATCAGGGCTGCCCTTACCTTCGCCGTACCTCCCAGGAGCCCACGACAGTGGCAACAGTTGCGCATTTCGCAGCCACCCAATAAGCTGCGAGGTCTCGTGCAATCCGTTACCCCGCCGTGCCTCCCAGGAGCCCACGATGTTGCGCAAAACGCAACCACACAAGGAGCTGCGAGGTCTCGAATACTCCGCTATTCCGCCGTGCTTCCCGGGGGGCCACGAAAGCTACGACGGTTGCACAGTTTGCAGCCATCCCTGGAGCTGCGAGGTCACTCCGCCGTGCCTTCCAGGAACCCACGCGCAAATGTCGATAATGGAGCAAATTGCAGCCCATAGGGAGCTGCGAGGTCTCGGGTGCTCCCGACTCCGCCGTGCCCCCCAGAAGCCCACGAAGGTGGCGACTCTCGCGCAGTTCGCAGGCACCGAAGGAGCTGCGAGGTCTCGAGTACTCCCCTACTCCGCCGTGCCTCCCAGGAGCCCACGAGAGTGACGACGGTTGCACACTTCGCAGCCACCCAGGGAGCTGCGAGGTCTCGGGTACTCCGCTACTCCGCCGTGCCTCCCAGGGGCCCACGAAAGCTACGACGGTTGCACACTTCGCAGCCACCCATGAAGCTGCACGATCTCGGGGACTCCCCGATCCCGCCGTTCCCAAGCCCATGAAAGTGGCGATTGTTGCACACTTCGCACCCGCCTGGGGAGCTGCGAGGTCTCGGGTACTCCCCTACGCCGCCGTGCCCCCCAGAAGCCCACGAATATAGCGACGGTTGCGCTGCTCGCAGCCACCCGAGGAGCTGCGAGCATCTGGCTGGCTCCGCGTACTCGCCTGCCTTGCCGGGCCTCCCAGGAGCACACAACACTGGCGACAATAGCGCAATCTGCAACCCCTTCTGGGAGATGCGAGGTTTCCTCTGAATCTGCGTACTCCGCAATTCCGCCATGCGGCGACTGTTGCGCGGTGCGCAGTCACCCCAGGGAGCTGCGAAGTCTCCCGGACTGCCTTATTCCGCCGTACCCCCCAAGAACCTCCGAACGTGGCAACAATTGCACAGGTCGCAGCCACCCAAGGAGCTGCGAGGTCTCGGGTGCTCCGCTACTCCGCCATGCCTCCCAAGAGCTCACGAAAGTCGCGACGGATGCAGTCCGCAGCCATCCCGGGAGCTGCGAAGTCTCGGGTACCCCCCTACTCCGCCGTGCCCCCCAGGAGCCCACAAAAGTGGCAAGGGTCGCACACTTCGCAGCCGCCGAGGGAGCAGCGCATGAGGAGGCAGCGAACAGGAGGAGGAGGAGGAGGAGGAGGAGGAGGAGGAGGAAGAGGTGGAAGAGGAGGAGGAGGAGGAGGAGGAGCAGCAGCAGCAGCAGGAGTCTGAAGCCAGAGTGTCATCCTGCATTAGGGATCGCAAGTGTACAGGATAGGGATGAAGTGGTGCCGGCATGAGAGGTGAAAGGCCTCTTCACTCCC